CATTTAGTTTCAACCCCAAAGAGTTGGAACTTCTGCAGGTTTCCAAGGATAATTTAAAAAACGACATTGTGGAATTTGAAGAAACTAAATTTTCTCCCTCTCCCTTTCCCTGTTCTCTGGAGTTCTGGAAAAATCTCCTGTTACTTAATAGAATTAACTTGGATTGTTTCCAAAATCAGCTTCAGCTCTAAAATCCTGTGACTTTTGATGTTTCTGCTTTAAATTCACGAGGAATTTAAAGATATGGACATTAAACAGGAAGAACTAGGTTATGGAAGTAGAGGTGTCATAGAGAATGTGAGAGCTCAAACTAAAACCAGCAAGGGAAAATTTTGACACAATCTTTAATAGACCAATAAATGGGGGAAGGTGAAGAGGCATCATGTGTTTAAACAAAAGCTCATGCATGTTCACTGTGTTTGAAAATCTAGATAAAAATTAATAAATGTTTTCTTAGTAAAAATAAAACTCTTTTTGAGTGGAGGAAAATCACTCCCCAAATCCAACTTTACAAAGTCCATCTTTCATGTTCTGGTGATTTGTCATTCTTCCTTCCCACAGCATGGGTTTTCTAGACACATGCCCTTAGTGTGGGTCTCAGAGTGTCTTTCAGACGCCCTTGTACCAGTTGGGGAGGCTGAGGAGGTTAGCTTGCTGCTTTCCTGGAAGAGGCCTCCTGTGGTTTCAGAGGGCAGCTTCCCTGGCAAACATCAGGCATATCGTAATCTCGAGATGGTTTTAGTTTTTTTTCCCCCGTATTCACATCCTCTTCATTTCCAAGTATCCTTGTATGTCTCTGGCCCAGACAACGTTTCATTTTATTTTGTGCCTGATGGCATTGCTCAAGAGTTGCCTGGAAACAAAGTTTGGGATCAAACTATGTCTTCCTTTCAACTACCACAGTTTCTTTTGCTTATTTATTTTTTTCTTTTTTAGTTTTATTTCTTTTCTTTATTATTATTGTTATTATTATTATCATTTTATGATACAGATCCGAAGTCCATGGGATATCCCATACTCTCTCCTTAAGTTCCCCTAAGCCCATTAAGTTCCACTATATTATTACTATAGTATAGTTCTTCATATACAGTCATATGCATCATTGCGGGCATAGACAATGGCAGAGAGTCCAGCATCCTATTGTCAAGATATAGTAAATAGTTTCATCGGGAGTTCATTTTTGATTTTAAAGTAGAGATGCATACTTCATTGTATCCTCATATCTGGATATGACAATCTCCATTACACAGCTACTATACATCCCCTTAAATAAAAATCCACAAAACAAAATCAACAACAGGAAGAAGAAAAAAGGAATTAAAATGACATGAAATTAAATTAAACATGCTACTGAATGACTAATGTGTCACTGAAGAAATGAAAAAGAAAATGAAGACTCTTCTTGAAGAAAATGATGCATGATGTATGATCTGTAAGTCAGTGAAGAATTTAATGAGAAGAAAGTGTTCTGAAAAGATGAAACAAAAAAAAAAATCAAAATCCTTGAAATACAGTTGTCCGCTGATCTTTGTTGGTAAGATGTGTCACCTGTAGGTAACAAGTAGATTTTTAAATCCAGTCTACCAATTTATGACATTTGATTGATGAGTTTAAGCCATTTACATTCAGGGTTAATATGAATGGGTGGTAATGTGGTCCTGTCATTTTAGCAATGGGTTGTTCATTGATTTAGTCTTCTGTTGTTATTTAACTGCGATGTTCTTCACATTTGCTTTTGGTTCTGGTGGGTGCTATTTCTCTTCTCTGTCAAGAGAACATCTTGAAGTATCATTTTTAGGGCAGGTTTGGAAGAAGCATATTCTTTTAACTTTTGTTTGTTGTGGAGGAATGTTATTTAATTTTCAAAGACCTGGTTTACAAAGACCCAGCTTTGCTGGGTACGTTATTTTGGGCCTACAGGTTTTTTGCTTTCAGAATCTGCAATATGTTGCTCCATCCTCTTCTGGCCTGTAGAATTTCCTGTGAGAGGTCTCCTGTGATTTAATTGGCATTCCTCTATATGTCAGTTGATTTTTTTTCCGATGCACCTTTAAGGATCTTTTCTTTATGTTCAGTTGAAGAGAGCTTGATGATCATGTGTCGTGGTGAAGTTCACTTTTGGTCAACTCTGTTGGGAGTTCTGTACCCCTCCTGGATGTTGTTTCCCAATTCTTTCTCCAGATTAGGGAATTTTTCCTTTATTATTTCATTAAACACATTTGTAAACCCAGCTTCTCTTTCTGCACCTTCTAGGACTCCCATAATTCTTACATCAGGCGTCTTAATAGTGTCTTTCAATTCTTGAATATTTTTTTTTTGGCCTGATCCAGCTCTACTTCCAGCTTTTTGTTTGTTTCCCCATGGTGACAGGAAATATATTCGAATTTTGAGATTATTTCTTCTGCCTCCTTTATTCCATTTTGGAGACTCTCCACTGTACTTTAATTTGTTCCACTGTATTCATTTTTGATATACAATCTTTCATTTGATTCATTTTCTGTGTGACATATTCCTTAAATTCCTTGAATGCCTGCTTTATGTGCTTCTTGTTGTTGATGATAAACTTTATAACAAGTGTTTTGAATTCTGTATCCCCCATTTTCTCGATGTCTTCCTCAGTTAGCTCTGAGGTTGGCAAAGGCTTTTGCTCCTTTGCAGGGGAGTCTTCATTATGCGTTTGTCTCCTCTTTTGCTCTTGGTCATTGTACTTCTGGGTAGCAGCAGACTCTTCTCCTTGAGGCAGGTTTCTAAGCTGTGTCACCCACAGGTCTACAGTTTGATGTTACTTATTGTAGTTGGTACACAGCTCTTTGTTAGTAGTCACTTGTGCCACACCCTCCAGTGAGTTCCAGGTCTGGGTTCTTATGTTAGACTTCCACCAAGAACTCTGCAGCCCCAGCTCCTGCTGCACCATTCTCGACCTCCTATGATTCTGTGCTGAGCTGCACCATTGTCTGTACAATATTTCTCCCATTTCTGGTTGGAGCAGGTCCCAGGATTAGGAAGACACCAGGTGTCCTATATAGCTAGGTTGTTGGTTGTGCTTATCTTGCCAGAAGCTGTCGGCCATTAGGTCTGAGGGCCACATAGATCTATTTTGACATATACAATACCATAGTTGGTATTATTTTCCCGGTGGGACTAGTGCAATCCACTGAGCTCAGTGAGTTCTCATCAAGCTCAGCGCATGCACAGCTCACTGTTATCCCCTGCAGTCTTAAATTTTTTTGCCATACTGTAAGAAATGGCATCTGATGTGCCACTACTAGAGTTCTTGATCTGCTGGCCATCAGGTCTGAGGGCTACCTGAACCTCTCCTGGGTGGAACCTGTAGGATACCATGCTGTTAAAGTTCACTGAGCCAGATATGAGTTCACTCCCAGCTCAGTACATGCTCAGTCCTGTCCCATAGCCTTCACCTCCCTAAGCAAAATGGTCCCTGGTTCTGCTCTAAGGAGTGAATTGGGCTGTGAAATCCACCCTGTTCTAACACTGCCTGTCTGAGACCTGTCACTCTATCTCTTCTCCTGCTCAAATCAAACAGACCAACAGGATGGGCAATTCTTTGCCTGGGTTCACGTTGTGAGCTCCCAGTGAACTTCCCTTCCCATCTTCTTGCTGGTAGTTCTGGTTGCCAGTGCAGTTCAGATCACCACTTGCTGAATGCTGCTGGGGTATCATTCATGTAGCATCACACTGTTGTGTCCACTGCTTTCCCGTGTCTGTCAGTCTCCAGGTACCCCTCTGCTGCCATTCTGTCCTCTCCTATTTCCTCTCTGCTTCACACCAGCTAATGTTTTTCCATCTGTTTAAATGTGTCCTTACCCTGTTCCACCATCTTGATTCTCTTTTTGCTTATTTCTTACACATAAGACATAGTTCTGAGCCCAGTGTGATGGCCTAGTGGCTAAATCCTAATCTCACAAGCATTGAGGTCCCATATGGCAGCCAGTTTGTGTTTTGACTGCTTCACTTCCCATCCAGCTTTCTGCTTGTGGCCTGGGAGGACAGTAGAGGATGGCTCAAAGCCTTGGGACCCTGTGCCTATGTGGGAGACCCAGAAGAAGCCTAGCTCCTTGCTCTTAGCTTCAAATCGACTCAGCTCTGGATGTTGCATTGTGGCCATTTGGGGAGTGAAGTAGAGGACAGAAGATCTTTCTATTTCTCCTTCTCTCTGTAATGCTGCCTTTCCAATAAAAATAAATAAATCTTAGAAAATGGCTCCTCATAATTAATACACCCTCTGTTGTAATAATAAATAAAGAGTAAAACTTCTGTTAATAATAAACTCTGTAGTAGCTTTTGTTAAAATAATCATAATAATATTACAAATGATAGTAACTATATGATAATGATAGTTATCTATGTTTTTATGATACCTATAATGTCAGAGATTTGAAAATATGCATTGCGTCTAATATTACTAAGAGCTATATGAATTCAGTATCAGGGCCTCGCATGTTTCAAATCATCATAGTGGAAGCCATTTGCTCTGTCAAATCTTTTTATCTGGTTTCATCTGTGCAAAGATGTTCAAGGTTGTGTTTTCGGGGCAAGCAGGAGATCAGAAGGGGCAATTGTTAGCGGCCAGGTGACTCGCTCTTGGCAACAGAACATGAACTAAAGCAGTGTGTTTCACTGGCAAGGTGATGTTTCTCCTCTGTAGCCTTCTTTCTCACTTGCTGGCTAACTGGGGAAGATTCTGAAGCACTTTTGGATATCAGAGTTTCCAAGGAAGACGTGATTTGAGCTATGTGCTAGCCAAGAACTCTGATGTTAGCCAAGAAATCAAATGGGTGTGATGTATGCTTCTATTGCTATAAGTATCATGTTGTCTGTTATAATAACAGGTGTTAATGAATGCAGTATCATAGGCATAATATGGCTCAATCCACAGCTTTTGAATCTTGGTGATCTTTGTTACACAATACTAGACAGTTCAAACAATGGTGCATATTTTAAAAAAGGATTTGTTTTATTTACTTAAAAGCCAGAATTAATTTGCTTCTCAGTCTTTTAGCTAAGATCAAGTGTAGTATCTGCTCTTATCAGTTAGATATCTGATATATCCTCTGTCTGAGGACAATTTATTAAATGGATTTTTGGAATTAGAAGTTGGACTGGGAGCTTGTTTTGTCCCTTCTACACATCGACCTGGTAGTGTAATACATCCAGGAATGGTGTATCAAAGAAAGTAAATGTTAAAAAAAAAGCAGAATTAGAAAGAGAGAGATCTTCTACCCATCATCTACCCTCTGGTTCACTTTCCAAATGCTATAGTGCTAGAGCTGGGCTGGTTGGAAGCCAGGAGAAGAGCCAAGAGTTTCTTTTCACATTTCCCTTGTCCAGCTTCCCCTGCTTTCTCAGACACTTTAGCAGGGAGCTGAATTAGAAATGGAGCATCTGATGCTTGAACTGATGCCCTTACGGGATTCTGGCATCCCAGGCAGTCACTTTACCTGCTATGCCACAACACTGTCTCTGGTGCCATTATTTTGTGTTTTATATTGGTTTTATACTGTATTTTATATTAATTTTTACTTACCCACTTTTGAAATGTAAAATGTGTTATTAATATTTTATTAATATGTTCAAAAACTGCCCTTGATTGTTTCATACAGTAAATATATGACCTAATTATTTCCAGAAGGAGATAGCGTGAGTATCAGCACTTAAGTGATGGGGACAGAAGGTTTCTCTTGTCTAATTAATAAAATTTCAAAAATATTTATTTGAAAGACAGATACAGCACAAGAATGAGTAAGAAAAAGAAAGGGAGGGAGAGAAAGAGAGGGATCGACCAAGCATTCATCCACTGATTCAATTCTGAAATGACTTCAATAGTTAGAGCTGATCTTGGCCCAAACCTGGAGACCAGAACTCAGTCTGGGCCTCCTACCAAGTGTCGGCGTTATCCACTGCCATGCCGACCCCTTTCTGGTCTGTATTTGTGTTTTCTACTTTTATCAGAAGATTTGTCAGCTTTGGTGCAGGTCTTAAAGGATAGTGTGCTATGTTGTATACAAAGCAAACTGCCTCTTGAACAAGTGTCATTATTATGTTAGCTTGGTGCTGGAAGGACACTGCAGCCACCTCCTACTGCATGATAAATTGATCTTGCAACTTCTGATTGCTCATATAGCATTGTTTGTTTTTACTTCTTAACCATGCTATCTTTTTTGTTTTGTTTTGATGTTGGCACCTTTTGCTTTTTGTCCGGTAAACCAAGGGAAAGGCAGACACAGCTAGAGAGGAAATCAGAACTGACTTCTCTAGTTAAGAGTTGGGAATTTAAAGTCAAGTTCCCTGCAGGCTTTGGGTGACTTCCGCTCACCGGTAGGGATGTGTGTATACAGATTAATTTTAGTCCTGGTTGCCTCTCAGCGGATCAAATATTATGTGGGTGGCAAATTCTAGGAATCCTAAAGGATTTTAAAACACTCTGCCATCCTACTATGGGGATGGCCATAATTAGAGGGGACAGTAAGTTATACTATAAACTGTTTATGGTTGAGAGCTGGGGTTTTGACCCTTTCCTGTATATTACACTGTTATCCCCCAGCCCATGGTGGCCTTCTGGTATGCAGAGGGCTTAGCCAGGGTTCTTAGTGAAGAAGTGAAGGAATTTGTGCGTGGCCTGTGAGCAGAGCTGGCACACCCACTCGTCTGTGCTGGAAAGGAAGTGTGGGCAGGGGTCATTAAGGGGCCTTTTTTCTGCTTTTAGACAGTGCCAAGGCCTCTCGGACTGGGCTCAGCTTTATTTTGGTTTATGTGGAGTTGATTCAGACACACTCAAAATTGTGACATCTTTGCTTCCAGTGAGATTTACAGCATATATCTTGTTTCATCAACCTTGATTTATTCCTTTTTAAAAAAGATTTTATTTTATTTTTATTGGAAAGGCAGATTTACAGAGAGGAGAAGAGACAGAGGAAGATCTTCTGTGTGTTGACTCACTCCCCAAGCGGCCACAACAACAGGAGCTGAGCTGATCCAAAGTGAGGAACCCGGATCCTCTTCTTAGTCTCCTGCATGGGTGCAGGGTTCCAAGGCTTTGGGCTGTCCTTAACTGCTTTGCCAGGACACAAGCAGGGTGCTGGATGAGAAGCAGAGCCTCTGGTATTAGAACCTGTGCCCATATGGGATCCTGGAGTGTTCAAGATGAGGACTTTAGTCGCTAGGCTACCGTGCAGGGCCCCAACCTTGGTTTCTTAAGAAGCCAGTTTCTATCTTAGTGGTGATAGAACTTCGAATTTAGAAGGACAAAGGTTTCGTATTCGCATTTGAGTCTTTTAATTCTTGCCTTTTGGGCATGGAAATGAATGAAAAAAATTTGTACTTTTTAAAAAGAAGGATTAAAAAATCCTGCAAGCCTTGATCCATTTAAGAAAAATCTGTCTTACTTTTACAGTGTTTTGTAGAATTGAGCAACTGATTTATTTCATGTGGTCCTATATTCTTTTATAAAAAAAATATTTTAAAGAGAGGAAGAGAGAGAAAGAGAGAGGGAAGAGAAGAGAACAGAAGAGAGAGAGAGAGAGAGAACAAGAGCGACATGCCAGATAAAAGATGGAGACATGAGTTTTCTTACTCGTTCACTTTCAAGTGCTTCCAAAACCTAAGGATTCAGTACCAGACCAATCCAAGCCTCCCATATGGGAGATAGCTATCCAACCCTTTGAGCATCACTGCTGCCTTCTAGGAAGTATATGAATAGGAAACTGGAATGGAGAATGGTGGGAGAACTCCAACCAAGGTACTCCCATATGGGCATCTTACTGCTGTGCCAAACACCAACCCCTCTTGTGATCCTATCTTTTAACTTGAGTATTTACCAAACAGGCAGGAATAGGACCAGGAAATAAAACCAGTTAAATGTTTATCTTACTGTATCAGGTGAGAGTGAATGTGTGGCTGTTTGTCTCTAAGTTCTTTTGCCATACAAAGGATTTGAAACTTGTTTTTTTTTTAAAGAATTTATGGAGCATGAAGATACATGTTAAATTCTTGAGGGATAAATACTTGAGGGATCAACGAAGTTTATGTATTGGAATGAATAGTGCACAAAATAAAAGTATCTAATTCTATTTATAGGCTTATAAGTTTCAATTTTAATTGCTTTGAAACAACATCACTTAATATTGAATGTTTAAAAATTCTGGTTTCAGTTGTTATAATTTTAAAATCTACATTGCATGTATCTTAAAAATGGTGAGAGGAATACCGAAAGGTGAAAAAAAGACCTTTATTAAAAGAAGCAGTTCCTAATCCAGCACAGTGGCTGCAGTTCTAGAATCTCCCACCTGGTGGAGGGGCCAGAGAAAGGCAGGACACAGAGAAGAGTAGGGGTAAATTTTGACTTCTGACCCTATTTGAGCTTTCAGAACACTCAAGCTCTAGAAGGACAGACAAATCATAAAGAATGGGTATAAGACCAAAATAAATGACCTTGGCTCAAATAAAAAAGATGGCCTCAATGATCCTCCCTTTGTTGTATTGAAAATTGGGGCATCTGACTCTTTTCTAATGGCTTTAAGGTTTGAATCAGATAATAACTTGGCTGACTTCAAATGTATGCACTCTTTGTGTTTGCCTTTCTAGACTGGGGTTAGCAAGCCTTGGCCAGATCCACCTGCAACATCTTTAGTAAATAAAGTTTGATTGAAACATGGGCACAGCCATTCACTATTATATTATCTATGGCTGCTTTGTTGCTACAATACCAGGGTTGGCTGGTTTCAGAAGAAGCCATATGGTCTGCAATGCCTCAACCCTTTGCATCCTGGCACTTCACAGGAAGTTTACTGACCTCTGTGGAGCTGAACTGTGTTAACCTGGCCTATTCTTTAACTCAAGCTTCTACGGTATCAGTTCTTCACCCTGCTTTGGACTCTTTTCAATTTTATTTCCATTAAGTCATTTCTGGGAAGTGACATGCAGTATTCCACCTGTGGGATCCAGGGCTGCTAGCCTTACAACAGCATGTTCTCTGTTTTGTTTTCATTAATCCTGCTAATGGCTTGCATCACAGCGTAGGTCTTGGAATCAATGAAACAATGGACAAAAGTTTAATGATTATCACAGCCTTTTCTAGTCATAAGCCATAGCTGATGGAACAAAACTTGTACAGACTTGCACTTTCTGCTAGATAAAAATAACCCTAATTATATCCATCATATAATTTAGCTGATTCTTATCTGTCAGCTTTCTTGTCTTCTCCTTTAAAGGAATCGTTTTGTGAAATAATTATTTTGTGAAATAATTGTCATTGTCATGCTCACTGATTCAGATTTTGGAAACATTACTCAGGCAGAAAAGTTTGCAAAGTGGCTGTCTGAATTGACTCCTGAAATGGCGTTTATCTCTGGGAAAGGGATTTGATTAGCTAGGGTCAAGAATGGGAGGAGACACATATTTTTGAAACAACTTTTATAGCTTAAATGTTTTTTAATAAACAGTCAACACATTTATGGGATACAATGTGATATTTTAAAATGAGGCATATTTAGTTCTAGGTTAGCACATCTGTCTCCTTAGACAGTTAATATTTATTTTTAATGAAAACATTAAAATCCTTTCCGCCAGCCTTAAAAATGCATTACTAGCTCTGTAGTCACCTTACTGTGCAATAAAACACCAGATGTATTTCTCCTACACTACCCAGCTACAACTTGGGCTCCACTGAGCAGTGTTTCCCATCCTACCATCCCCAACTTTTATAACCTTTCCATTTGATAACAAGTGTGCATTCATTATTTACTGTATATAATTTGTTACAAGTTTTGCAATTTGAGATAACACACACACACACACACACACACACACACACACACGCACACACAATCTCAGAGAGTCTGTGGGCCAGGAGTGCAGGCCAACCTGGGCTGGGTCTCCCTGCACTGCAGATTCTTGCAAAGCTGAAGTTGAATATCAGCCATGTGATGTTAGGAGGAGCTGCTTCCAAGCTTCCATCAATGTTAGAAGGATTCAGGACCTAAGACCTGCTGTATTGAGGGCCTCAGTTCTCCATTAAGTATAAAAAAATAATATAATAGGCAGAATGTGATTTATTAATATAAATTTGCCAAATTTGACTACTTTATGAACATATTTGTAAGTGGAAAACTCAATAAGAAAGCAGTCTATAGCTAAATTTCAATAAGTAGTCAGAAATTGCGACATTTGTGTCAA